TTGGGGGCTGGAGGAGTGGAACATCCTATTCACCCCCTCTGACAAGTGAGCAAAGTTGCCTGGCTACTTTGGGGAACTCATACTTCACCTGCCTAAAGAGCAGCAGGCGTGCTCCCCCTGCATCCTTGGAACTCAGCATCCCCACTGATGGAGCACAGTTCTGCTTCATCCCTAATATGGGACAGTAAATAACACTCATAGTCTGGCCACTGAAGTGTAGTTCTACTCTCAATATTCATTATGTAAGAATGAAATGTTAATACTAAACAGATCTGGTCCCTGTGTGTATTCAGAGCTATATCTGCCTGCTTTATTGACAAAATTAAGGTTTCACTCCAGAGCTAAAAGAGCTTCTCTGCATCATATTAGGACTGGACAAATGGTTGGGTGGAAGATGAAAGACACTATTTTGAAATCTCTATTGGTTCAAACCCAAACTTAATTTGCGGTTTACTAGATAGGAATTCTGTCATGCCCAATCACAAGAAAAAGCCTGTGTTCCAGAAGCCCATATCTGAAACACAAGCAGAATGGAGGCAGCCATGTTTGGGTTCTGCAAGCTTGGATTTTTGCTGAAATCTGGTCAACAGCAGAACCAGAACTTGAACTAGTCTGGAATCTGGCCCCACTCCAGCACACCACCACTAATGTTTATCAAATGCAATAAAACAAGACTTATGGGGCATTTCCTGGCATATTTTCTCATTTCTTTCAATCTCTTTGATTTTGTCAGTTTGGTAACCACTTCTTGGTGTGAAATTTTACAAGGAGAAGTGCGAAATTGACTGCCAGAGCCAGGGTGATTGAGAGGAATTTTTAAAGTTGTATTACAACATGCTGTAACTATAGCACAGATAGACGTAATGTAAACTGATCCAGTTTGTGCCACCAATGACCTCAACCCTAATCTGGAAAAAATCACTCTACCTAGGGGTGAAAACCAGTTCATCTCACTGGACAGCTTCATTAAGTGTCTTTATTGAACAGAGATTGCCAGTTGTACAAAACTCTGCCAAACCACGTGTGATGGTTTTCAGACAACTACTAGAGACAGCTAAAGAACAAGTTCAGGCAACCAAACTCTACTTATAGTGGAATTGCAGTCATTTTGCTCAGTGTCATATTCTGAAATTTCATATAATGAGAAGTATATATAAAATAGAAAACCATAAAATAAACCATTTCATTGTTATTGCTATTTCTGAGCCTCCTGTCAATAGGCCCAGATTCAAGAAAGCACATGCCTAAATGCTTTCGTGAAGTGAAGCCACATTTCTGAAAAATGCCATAATCTAAAACGCTGCAGCTTGCACCCTCAATGTGAAAAATTACAAACCAATTTCCTTCAATATCAATTGACCAAAAAGAAACAGTTTGGGCCCAGAATCTGCCACACTGTAAGCCCTCAGGGGTCTAGCAACCAGGCCTGCAGAGCAATCAGGCAGATAACATCTCCAGGCTGCCATCCAGCACCAGCTGTAACCAACCTGCACACCATGACCTGCTGTGGACACAGACTTGGGAAGTTCCTCCTCAAGGGTCTGACAGGCAGCAGCCCTGTAGCTCCTTGATTTGGCTCTCTGCTCGATATAAACCCAAGAGGCATTCCAGGAAGTGTCCAGGCAACAGCACAGATCTTCTATAGCTGCTACGACTGTTCCTGGTCTATGCTCTTAAACTCCTGGCTTGACCTTGGCCTGTTTTGGACTTCGCCTCCTGACTCGGACACTGAAGCCTAACTTGGACTCCGACCCTCGGTATCTACCCTGGCCTGGATTTGACTATGAAACTCCTCGGCTACTCCTAGCCTCAGGTTTACCATGCTTTGACTCTTGGCCCTGACTGCTCTTGTTGGGCCTCTGACACCCCCTTTAGTCATATGGTGTTATTTAAATAGTCATCAATTCACTGACTAACTTCTTAAACAAGTAGCACTATGACAATTTTCGTGACAGAGGTTAGTTAGGTTGCTTAATGTGCTACTGGAAGGAACTCAGATACAATGGTAATGACTGCAGTATAAGAAACTAGATAGAACAGAACTCACAAATACCCAATACTATCATCTATGAATCACGGTGAATTAGATACAGTCATTTCTACTTGGAGTATATATTGCCAGTTTTAAACTAATATGTATGAATGAATTTTACTTGTATTTGGATGCATGATATGGCAAAAATCTACATTCAATAAAGGTGGATGTTTAATGACAAAATATTGTACGAAAAAACAATTCACGTTCGTGAAAATTGAAAGAAAAAAAACTCACCTCTGAATCTTCCCCCTACCTGACTAGAGTTACCAAGTGTCCCTGAAAACTGGATGTGTCACTGTTTTCAGGTTTGTCCTGGTGTTGGTTTTACAAAAAATGATGAGTTTTGTCCCATTTTTAACCCCTCCTGCAGATTGGCCAAAAGAAGAAGCCACCAGCTATCTAAGCCAGTGAAACTGAGAGAAAGAGAGTGAGTGTGTGGGGCAGGGAGAGTTGGGGAGGTTGGGTTGGGGGAATAGGAAAAGAGGAGCATATTGAAGGATTAGGAGAGAGAAGAAACAGCGGAAAAGAAACTGTGGAAATGGAAATAAAGAAGACAAAAGCATTAAAAATATAGAAGCAGAAAACCCAAGAGGAGGTGGTGAGCAAAAGAGGGCAGAGAAAAATGGACAAGGCAAGAAATAAAGTAAGATTCAAACAAGGGAGATAATTTTTAATACAGAGCTGGACAAGATAGAAAACATAAAGCGGATGCAGTGAGATAAACCATTTTTTCATAACCCTCCCTTTATGGTAGCATGACCATTTATTATTTTGAGAGGCAAGAAATTGGTGGAAAAGGACAAAGAAGTTAATTTGCTTGGTTGACAGGGAGAAAGCAAACCTTTATATGCACACCTCCCTGTCCCCCCAACCTAAACCATCCTCTTCATTAACCCCCTCTACTCCATCCCACATTATGAACCATGTCCTAGATTTTTAGTTTGAAAACCAACCACCTGACTTAAAAATTTTACACAAGGTCCTGGCCTAACTTTCTAGATTACAGAGACCCTCTTTCCAAGCCTTCCATAAACTCTGAGCAACAAAAAAAGCAGATTTCAGAGTAGCAGCCGTGTTAGTCTGTATCCACAAAAAGAACAGGAGTACTTGTGGCACCTTAAGGTATGTCTACACTGCGAAATTAGGTTGAATTTATAGAAGTCGGTTTTTTAGAAATAGTTTTTAAATAGTAGATTGTGTGTGTCTGCACACAAGATGCTCTAAGTGCATTAAGTGCATTAACTCGGCGGAGTACTTCCACAGTACCAAGGCTAGTGTCGACTTCCAGAGTGTTGCACTGTGGGTAGCTTTCCCACAGTCTCCGCTGCCCATTGGAATTCTGGGTTGAGATCCCAATGCCTGATGGGGCAAAAAACATTGTGGCGGGTGGTTCTGGGTACATGTCATCAGGTCCTCCTTCCCTCCCTCCCTCTGTGAAAGCAACGGCAGACAATCGTTCCGCGCCTTTTTTCTGTGCAGACGCCATACCACGGCAAGCATGGAGCCCGCTCAGATCACTTTGGCAATTAGGAGCACATTAAACACCACATACATTATCCAACAGTATATGCAGCACCAGAACCTGGCAAAGCGAAACCGGGCAAGTAGGCGACGTCAGCGCGGTGACGAGAGTGATGAGGACATGGACACAGACTGCTCTCAAAGCATGGGCCCTGGCAATGCAGGCATCATGGTGCTAATGTGGCAAGTTCATGCCGTGGAACGCCGATTCTGGGAACGGGAAACAAGCACAGACTGGTGGGACCGCATAGTGTTGCAAGTCTGGGACGATTCCCAGTGGCTGCGAAACTTTCGCATGCGTAAGGGCACTTTCATGGAACTTCGTGACTCGCTTTCCCCTGCTCTGAAGCGCATGAATACCAAGATGAGAGCAGCCCTCACAGTTGAGAAACGAGTGGCAATAGCCCCGTGGAAGCTTGCAATGCCAGCAGCTACCGGTCAGTCGGGAATCAATTTGGAGTGGGCAAATCTACTGTGGGGGCTGCTGTGATGCAAGTAGCCAACGCAATCAAAGATCTGCTAATATCAAGGGTAGTGACCCTGGGAAATGTGCAGGTCGTAGTGGATGGCTTTGCTGCAATGGGATTCCCTAACTGTGGTGGGGCCATAGACGGAACCCATATCCCTATCTTGGCACCGGAGCACCAAGCCGGCGAGTACATAAACCACAAGGGGTACTTTTCAATAGTGCTGCAAGCACTGGTGGATCACAAGGGACATTTCATCAACATCAACGTGGGATGGCCGGGAAAGATACATGACGTTTGCATCTTCAGGAACTCTGGTCTGTTTCAAAAGCTGCAGGAAGGGACTTTATTCCCAGACCAGAAAATAACTGTTGAGGATGTTGAAATGCCTATAGTTATCCTTGGGGACCCAGCCTACCCCTTAATGACATGGCTCATGAAGCCATACACAGGCAGCCTGGACAGTAGTCAGGAGCTGTTCAACTACAGCCTGAGCAAGTGCAGAATGGTGGTAGAATGTGCATTTGGACATTTAAAAACGCGCTGGTGCAGTTTACTGACTTGGTTAGACCTCAGTGAAACCAATATTCCCACTGTTATTACTGCTTGCTGTGAGCTCCACAATATCTGTGAGAGTAAGGGGGAAGACATTTATGGCGGGGTGGGAGGTTGAGGAAAATTGCCTGGCTGCTGGTTACGTGGAGCCCAACACCAGGGCGGTTAGAAGAGCACAGGAGGGCGCGGTGCGCATCAGAGAAGCTTTGAAGACCAGTTTCATGACTGGCCAGGCTACGGTGTGAAAGTTCTGTTTGTTTCTCCTTGATGAAACCCCCTGCCCCTTGGTTCACTCTACTTCCCTGTAAGCTAAGCACCCTCCCCTCCTCCCTTCAATTACCACTTGCAGAGGCAATAAAGTCATTGTTGCTTCACATTCATGCTTTCTTTATTAATTCAATCACACAAATAGGGGGATAACTGCCAAGGTAGCCTCGGAGGGGTAGTGGAGGGGAGAAGCACCAGGAGGGGTGGTGGAGGAGGGAAGGACAAGGACACACAGCACTTTAAAAGTTTAAAACTTATTGAATGCCAGCCTTTTTTTGCTTGGGCAATCCTCTGGGGTGGAGTGGCCGGGTGGCCAGAGGCCCCCCCCCACTGTGTTCTTGGGCGTCTGGGTGTGGAGGCTATGGAACTTGGGGAGGAGGGCGGTTGGTTACACAGGGGTTGTAGCGGCGGTCTGTGCTCCTGCTGCCTTTCCTGCAGCTCAACCATACGCTGGAGCGCATTAGTTTGATCCTCCAGCAGCCTCAGCATTGAATCCTGCCTCCTCTCATCACGCTGCCACCACCTTTCAGCTTCAGCCCTCTCTTCAGCCCGCCACCTCTCCTCCCGGTCATTTTGTGCTTTCCTGCACTCTGACATTGTCTGCCTCCACGCATTCGTCTGTGCTCTGTCAGTGTGGGAGGACAGCATGAGCTCAGAGAACATTTCATCACGAGTGCATTTTTTTCACCTTCTAATCTTCACTAGCCTCAGGGAAGGAGAAGATCATATGATCCTTGAAACACATGCAGCTGGTGGAGAGAAAAAAAAAGGGACAGTGGTATTTAAAAAGACACATTTTATAGAACAATGGGTACACTCTTTCACTGTAAACCCTCCTCTTAACATTACATACACAGCACATGTGCTTTCGTTCCAAGGTAGCGTTTTGCCTCCCCCAACCACGTGGCTAGCCCCTCACCCCTCCCTGTGGCTAACAGTGGGGAACATTTCTGTTCAGCCACAGGCAAACAGCCCAGCAGGAACGGGCACTTCTGAATGTCCCCTTAAGAAAAGCACCCTATTTCAACCAGGTGACCATGAGTGATATCACTCTTCTGAGGATAACACAGAGAGATAAAGAACGGATGTTGTTTGAATGCCAGCAAACATACACTGCAATGCTTTGTTTTACAATGATTCCCGAGTACATGCTACTGGCCTGGTGTGGTAAAGGTGTCCTACCACGGTGGACGGAATAAGGCTGCCCTCACCAGAAACCTTTTGCAAAGGCTTTCGGAGTACATCCAGGAGACCTGCCAATGCCAGGGCAAATTAATCATTAAACATGCTTGCTTTTAAACCATGTATAGTATTTTAAAAGGTACACTCACCAGAGGTCCCTTCTCCGCCTGGCGGGTCCAGGAGGCAGCCTTGGGTGGGTTCGGGGGGTACTGGCTCCAGGTCCAGGGTGAGAAACAGTTCCTGGCTGTCGGGAAAACTGGTTTCTCCGCTTGCTTGCTGTGAGCTATCTTCCTCGTCCCCAAAACCTGCTTCTGTGTTGCCTCCATCTCCATTGAAGGAGTCAAACAACACGGCTGGGGTAGTGATGGCTGAACCCCCTAAAATGGCATGCAGATCATCATAGAAGCGGCATGTTTGGGGCTCTGACCCGGAGCGGCCGTTTGCCTCTCTGGTTTTCTGGTAGGCTTGCCTCAGCTCCTTAAGTTTTACGTGGCACTGCTTCAGGTCCCTGTTATCGCCTCTGTCCTTCATGCCCTGGGAGATTTTGAAAATGTTTTGGCATTTCGAAAACTGGAACGGAGTTCTGATAGCACGGATTCCTCTCCCCGTACAGCGATCAGATCCCGTACCTCCCATTCGATCCATGCTGGAGTTCTTTTGTGATTCTGGGACTCCATCATGGTCACCTCTGCTGATAAGCTCTGCATGGTCACCTCTGCTGATGAGCTCTGGCCAGCGTGGCAAGCTGCAGGTGACCATGCAAACAGGAAACTGAAATTCAAAAGTTTGCGGGCCTTTTCCTGTCTACCTGGCCACTACATCTGAGTTGAGAGTGCTGTCCAGAGCGGTCATAATAGAGCACTCTGGGATAGCTCCCAGAGGCCAATACCGTCTAATTGCATCCACAGTACCCCAAATTCAACCCGGCAAGGCCAATTTAAGCGCTAATCCCCTTGTTGGGGCTGGAGTAAGGAAATCGATTTTAAGAGCCCTTTAAGTCAAAAAAAAGGGCTTCATCGTGTGGACGGGTGCGAGTTAAATCGATTTAATGCTGCTAAATTTGACCTCAACTCCTAGTGTAGATCAGGGCTTAGAGACTAACAAATTTATTTGAGCATAAGCTTTCGTGGGCTACAGCCCACTTCATCGGATGCATAGAATGGAACACATAGTAAGAAGATATATATTGTGACAAAGCTCTGTCCTTGCCTCCGTGGGTCCCACATTTCCTGGAGGATTTCGCTAGCCTCAGAGGCTCACTGTGACCCTCCACGTAACCCTTCTCTCTCTAGAGACAAGGGTCACAGTCTACCGAGCCATTTTCATCATGAGCCAGTGAGGGAGGTGAGGAGAAGTTATCCTTCCTTGCACAGTCTCTGTTGTCTCCCAGTCTCAGTGATTAATCAGGGGGCAAAGGGAGGGGGGGAGACCAGGCCCACCCTCTACTCCGGGCTCCAGCCCAGGGACCCTAATAGTATCAGCTATGGTAGCTGACCTTTTAGAAACATGACATGTACAATTCCCTGGGCTACTTCCCCCACAGCAGCCCTCACTTCCTCAAGCTCCACTTCACCCTTACCTCAGGGCCTCCTTCCTTGTGCCTGATATGGTGTGTACTACTCAGTCTCTCAAACAGCGCAACTTCCTCCCACAGCTCCTGACATGCATGCCCACCTGACTAACTGGGAGGCTTTTAACTAGTTTCAGCCAGCGCCTGATTGGCTTCAGGTGTCCCAATCAACCTAGCGTTCTCCCTGACTTCTGGAAAGTTCTTAATTGGCCCCAGGTGTCTTAACTGACCTGGAGCAGCTGCCATTTCACTTATCCAGGGATTTGTTTAGCCTGGAGCTAATATATCTATCTCCCACTACTTTTCTATAGCCATCTGGCCTTGCCCCGTCACAATATATACATACATACAGAGAACATGAAAAGTGGAGTAAGAGGCTAATTAATTAAGATGAGCTATTATCAGCAGGAGAAAAAAATTTCTGTAGCGATAATCAAGATGGCCCATTTAGACAGTTGAGAAGAAGGCGTGAGGATCCTTAACAAGGGGAAATAGATTCAATATGTTATTTATTCAAGCACTGTAAATATATATCTTCTTACTATATGTTCCATTCTATGCATCCGATGAAGTGGGCTGTAGCCCACGAAAGCTTATGATCAAATAAATTGGTTAGTCTCTAAGGTGCCACAAGTCCTCCTGGTTTTTTAACAAAAGCAGACTTTGTTAATGCAATGTCCAGCAAGTTAGGCTCCAAAGCACCGCTGGCTACTGAGCTACTGCAAGCTCTTTTTTTATCTGATAACTTCAACAGAAACTATACGTTATCCATCGAGGTTGCTCTGGCCCCATATAATCAAATGATAAGAGAGACAAGGTGGATGAGGTAATATTTTTTACAGGACCAGCTTCCATTGGTGAAAAAGGGAAGCATGAGTTCACGCTTGAAAACTTGCCATTTCACCAGCAGAAGTTTGTCCAGCAAAAGATATTACCTCTCTCACCTTGTTTCTCTAATATTCTGGGATCAACATGGTTACAACAACACTGCAATAATCAAATGATGTTGTTTTCCTCTGCACAGCCTGTAAAATGTTTTCGGATTATATTTTCAAGCATTAAAAAGCAAAGCTAGAAAAATGAGTTGGGCAGGCATAAAAATACATGAAACCAATCAAGCCCAGACCATTAGAAAAGAGTTAACTGTTTAAACACTTCTGTCTAAATCATTCAATAAATCCACACAGAAGAGCTCTGTAATGGGTAAAATAAGCCAAGTTAGCCCTAAGTGTATTTTGTTTAATTTGACCTGTAAACTGTTAATCCTTTTCAGAAAAGGTTACTTTTACAGACATTATGTCTTTAAGTGGCTGAATTATATATTCTCTAACCTTTTTTTAAATGAGATTAATTTTTCTCCTTTAAAAAAGTAGTAAGAACAGACTGAAATTACACTGAATAAAAAATAACGTTAACAAGATTCAGAGTCATTACTTTAAACTTGAAGCAGGCACTTCATGCACCAGGCTACGAAATCACTGATTAATAGCCACTGAAATTTACAAATATTATTTTGGGCACAGGAGGACTATTTCCTATGAGTGCAACAGAAATATATTTATTATGATTTATATATAAATAAAAGGGGCCTGTCATAAGCTCCAGGCAGTTTTGACAAACTTTTCAATATAATCAATAGAAAAATAATAAATCCAGAGGCTTATTTTTATCCATTGTGGGGTAACACCCAAAATGTATTTGAAAACATAAAACACGGTAATGAGCCAGCAGGTTAATTCCACCCAACACCCCAATAATAGCTACGCATATTTAACTCTTCTCTTCCCAAATACCGAAGAAAACAAATGGACTCTGCTGTGGACCCTGGAAGATCAAAAAAATGCAGATATTTCAGACCCAGAGAAACGCTGACTTCTCAAGTCAAGGGCAACCCACTAAAAATTAAGTGAAATGCAGTTGTGGTCTTGACTTAAACTGGAGCAGTACCAGGTAGGAAAAGAGGACGTTTCTCATGTAAACAGGTCTCAAGTCATTTAGGTCTTTGTAGGTCAAAAACACTATCTTGAGTTCTAATGGTAAAGCATATCAATGATGAAGCACTGGTGTAATACGATTGCAGTGACATACTCCATTAAACAATCAGGCTGCCACATTTTAAACCACCTTCATTTTCCAAGTGGATTTAAGGTATAGACCCAAGTGCCAAAGTCTAATCTCAAGGTGACAAAGACACAGAACATGGCAGCAAAGGACACAACTCCTAGACAGGAGGAGATGGGGAAAAAGTAGTCTAAGGGCTTGTCTACATAGGGATACAGGCAAAAACAGAATTAATGTTTAAAATGGATTAGTTAAACTGCATTAAACCCATGTGTGGATGCTCTTATTCAGAATTAAAGTGGGCTTAATTCAATTTAGCTTAATTTACTTCCAAAGTGAATAAATTAAATCAAATGATGTCCACTTTAATTCTGAATAAGAGTATCCACACAGGAGTTTAATGCGGTTTAACTAAACCATTTTAAATTCAGACCTTTAATTTTGATTAATTTTCCTGAGTGTCCCTGTGTAGCAAGCCCTTAGCCAATGAAAGTACCTGGTCTTCTAATAGTAGCTGAGGATCTAAAATGATCTTTTCATTGTAAACTCAAGTGACAAATGGCAAAACACCCTCAGTCAAAGGACAGATATAAACATAGCTACAGTGCATGTGATCAAAGACATGCGACTGACACAATGGACAGGATTCATAGAGTCACAGATTTTAAAATCAGAAGGGACCACTATGATCACCTCGTCTGCTGCAAAACACAAGCCATAGATTTCACAGTTTATCCAGTTTATCCAGTGGTTTATCCAGTGATTCCTGCATATAGCCCAGCTACATTTTAGAAAGCCATCTAGTCTTGATTTAAAGACTCCAAGTGATGGAGAATTTACTACATCCCTTGGTAATCTGTTCCAATGGTCAATTATTCTTGCTGTTAAAAATGTGTGTTTTATTTAGCTGTTGCATTTGGTTCCTTTCCACTTCCAACTACTGGATTATCATAATACTCACAAGAAGTGGCTCAATCATATTAATTACAAAATACATTTTTTTTAAAAAAGGCACAAGAAGAATGTTAGTCATTCCTTTTCTGGACTTCGCAGTGGGTTTTAGCTTCTCTGTGCAACTCTCTTGCTTATGTAATAAACACTTTGGGGACAAGAATCATCCTTATTCTGTGTTTTGTACTATGCTGAGCACACAGTCTTCTTGTTGTCTTTAGTGAGATCTAAGCCCTAATGACTGTCTCTCCTTACACAGCATTTCTTAAGGGTGAGGTGGTCTTGTGTGCATATCCTAATTTTCTCAGTATATCAACCTGTCTGTGATTTTCATTAGACTACACACTTTACTTGTGGGGACTAGGTAAAAAGGCCCTTAGCCACTATCTAGATAGCACGAAACTTCTACTTGACTTCATTGACTTCTGGCAAATGGTGACAAGTCCACGGAAAGTGTATCATAACTCAGAAATTGTATAAATGAATCAAACTTTGCATACAGAGTAGTTATGATGCTGCATGTTTCTGAAGCTCTTAGAATACATTTCACCAGGTCTAAAGCAACCAAGAGGTAGCCTGAGAAATGTTTACACCAGGGGGTCTCAACCTTTTTCTTTCTGAGGCCCCTCCAACATGCTATAAAAACTCCACGGCCCACCTGTGCCATAACAACTGGAGTCCACACCACAAAGAGCCCTGTGAAGCTAAGTTGCTCAGGCTTCTGTTTCATACCCAGGTGGAGGGGCTCAGGGTCCCAGGCTTCAGCCCTGCATGGCAGGGCTTAGGCTTTCTGCCGTGGGCCCCTGCGAACCTAACACTGGTCCTGGTTGGTGGACCCCCTGAAACCTGCTCGTGGCCCCCAGGGAGCCCCGGACCCCTGGTTGAGAACCACTGATTTACACCACAGAAATATGCAAGACTGTTACATGGACTTCTATTAATATGCTTATGTGGGGTTAAGCCCTCAATATGGTAGCTAGATCTGATGCCCAAGCTGAAAAGGACATCTTTCAATTTGTATGCCACCCAGAAATATGGATTTCTACAGACCATACCTAGAAAAGGTTACTGGCCAGTAATTACGGTTCTTAGAATAGATTCTCCGGGCATGATTCTGATTACATATACACTGATGTAAATCTGAAATGAATCTACTGAAGTCAATGGAGTTACATAAAGTATAAACTGGTTCAAGAGAAGTCAGACTCAGGCCCTCTGTATAGATATACGCTTCCCACTCTCCATCTCCACATCTTTGGGCCAGAATCTCAGCAAGTGTAACCTGGTCCCCTCTTACAACAATTTACACCACCTGAGGATGCAGCCCTTTCATTGGGATTACGAGTACATGGAAAGCACAGAGTGGAGCAGGACTGTGACTGTTTGTTTAAACTCAAGCGAAGGGGCAGATTCTCAGCCAGTGTAAATTGTAATAGCTTTACTGCTTCAGCTGGGGATCTGCCCCTAAACGAGCAGCCTCCTTTGATATATACAGGTACGGCCCCA